ACAGGTTACGACAGCCAGCCTCGGATAAATCACTTTTTTCGGTCGATCCCCAGGTAACCAAAAATCATCCCAAACAGAGATAGCAATCCTTGAACCGACATTCCATCTCAGCCCCATTTCCAATAAGCCTCGTGCACTCCAAAGACTCCTACAAATGTAAGATGTATTAGCCCCTAACCTTGCCTTCAGAAAATTTGAACTTGAGGAGTATTTTGCGCGGAGCAATCGACTCACCAGAGAAGTCAGATTCATTAAAATATGTCAGCCGTGCTTTGATAGAAAAGAGATGTTGAATTTTTCCATACCTCAAAAACTCAATCCACCCTCGTTTTTTTTTAATTAACTAACCATGTGCACCAGTGGATACTACATCTACCGTCTACCTTTTTCCACCAAAAACTTCCCTGAAGCTCCTTCGATCTCAGTGCCTAAACTCTTCTACAATAGGAAATAATTCATAGAAAACAAAGGAATTACTTGCAAGACATTTAAAGAATATATCTTTACCACCTTGGGAAATGATTTGATAGCTCCAACTCTGGATACGAGATAAGAGCCTCTCTTTCAAATGGTCAAAAGCTTTCTTTTTGTTACACCCCACCACTGCTGGTAAACCTAAGTACTTCTCAGGATTTGATTCTCTAGCCACATTTAGAATTCGACCAACAGAAACACGATTCTCTCTGGCCACATTTGAACTAAAGAACAAGCCACTTTTATCAAAATTGATTTGTTTTCCCTAACTATCATCGTAAACCCGAATGATTTCTTGAATTGCTAGAGCCGTCCTCGGAGTTGCTTCCCCAAAACTGAGACTATCGTCTGTGAATAGAAAGTGCAAAATCAAGGAAGCACGATGATTAGTTCGCACCCCTCGAAGTCTGCCGGAGAGCCTCTTGCCAAAGGAGAGATGATAGTCCCTCACTGCAAATTAGAAACAGATAAAGGCTTAAAGAATCCACTTGCTTTCAGCCCTTTTGAGGAACAAAGGATTCCTTCACTATCCCATTCAAAATGACCGAATAAGATACTGAGGTTACACACTTACGAATCATACCAATCCAACCAATAGCAAAACCCATCTTATGAAACATCGCCCAAACAAAATGCCTCTCTGCACGATCATACACTTTGCTCATGTCCAATTTGAGAGCAAAGAAACCCTCACAACCAACCTTTTTAGTAACAAAAGAGTGCAAAATCTCGTACGCAACAATAGTTTCATCTTGGATCAGATGCCCGGGACAAACGCACTTTGCACCTCATCAATGCATAAGTGAAGAAACTCCTGTATCCTATTAACAAGGACATTTGAGACTACCATGTACAAGATGTTACGCAGACTTATGGGTCGGAAGTGCTACAAACCGCTTAGGGATCTCATCTTTGGAATGCGAACAATATGGGTAGTGTTTACCTCTTCCATATCATTCTACCCTCCGAGTAGCCCTATACAATAGTCCGCAACCTTATCTCCAAATATGTGCTAGAACCGTTGATAAAACAACAGCCCCAGTCCATCTTCTCCTGAAGCCTTCAATGGACTTATCAACTTCACGACATGGAAGATCTCTCTCGTGAACTCCCGAAGCAACATCTGGTTCATAACCTCCGTTATACATCGCCAAACACCATTCAAAATCTGGCTGGACCCAACAATAGAACTTTACAAGAACAAATTCTAAAAATAGGATTGAGCAAGCTCCCCCATGTTCACCTCATCCTCCAATCGCGCTCCATCCCCTGACTAAACAAACTCATTTTTATTTCGGCATTTTTGTTTCAATGTAAAACGATGAAAGAACGTTGTGTTATAATCTCCATATATTAACCAATTCACAGGGGCGCGGTACTCCCAATACAACTCCGACTTATTCACTTCCAAATTGAGTAAAAACTTCGTAACAAGAATCTCCCCCAGATTTTAATCGGTCAGAGCAAGCTTTCTCTTCAAATCTGACATTGCCATACATTTCCCCCTACGTAGCCGTTGAAACCATTTATCAAGCCTCTTACTAACATAACAGAGCTTTTCCAAAACCCAGCCCACAGCTTCTCCCAACAAATGTTTAATCTCTGACTTACAAGACTCTTTAAGCTCCCAAGACGCCATAAACTTGAAGTTCCAATGTCTCCGTTCATTATGCACATCATCCGTAATCAACAAAAAGGGACAATGATCCAAAAATGAATAGAGAACATGGGTCACGGATGCATGTGGAAACAACTCTTCCCAAGGCACGTTTACAACCCCTCTATCTAACCTCTCTCAAATATTTGTCTCAACTCCCCTACATCTCACCCAAGTGTACCAAGCACCACTAAAGCCCATATCCTTCAAGCCACAATCCTCCAAAGCCTCATGGAAAGCCTCCATCTGATGAACACTACGATCAATACCCCCACTTTTCTCATAAGAAAAGAGAATTTCATCAAGGTCCCCATAGAAGATTCCAATAGTGAACTATGTTTTGCTCTTCTGGTGCCCCATAGAAACCTGTACACCTCCAACTGTTACCATCACCATCATTATCAACAATAACTTCAATATGAGAAACCGAAAATGAACGTACCATAACATCACACAACTCACGCCAAGCAAGGAAAAAACCTCCACAACTACCCCAAGAATCCACCTTAATACATCTTAGGAAAACACAAGACCTTCAAACTTTTTCCATCCTTGAACTTTGTAGTTTTGTCTCTATATATAAAATTAAAACCGAGTTAATGTCCTTCAACAAATGTTTAAGACATCTAACCGTCTGAGGCATCCCTAAGTTTCGGATGTTCCAAGTTAAAATTTTTATTGTGATCAGCCAGCCTGATTCTTTGGGCCTGTCAATAAATCAGAGGGGGATACCACCATATTCACCTCAAAGGACTTAGACTCAGAAACCGATAATTTTCGTGGCCTCTTTAAACCATCATGTTTTGACATCAGATTCTTCTCTTCAAGTGAAACCATATCAACATCACTTTGAAAACTACCTACAAGAAAAACTGAGGGATCAAAAATGACACGTTTGAAATCCAGATTGATCCAATTTATCGTCGCCTTTTACCCTAACTTTGATTTGCGCAACATAGCTCCAAGCACTTCATTCCCCGCATTCTGCCCTGGGTGCACAACATTCTCATCAGTTATGGCTAACGAGGTAAAAGCAAAACCTGCCCCTTACCCGAAGGGCCCTCGTTCTGATTATCTAGGTGCCACTAATCTCTACCTCCAGGGGGCTAAGCGACTCATCCCATTAGAAAACTTGATTCTGATTGTCTTGGAGTATGCGTTGCGGACAAAACACTTCGCTATGCCTCAATTTCTCACACCTGAAACAAAATTGTTTAAGTTTTTCATATTGAAAATGTGCATACACAAGCTTCCCATTCGGTAAGGTCACTTTCCTTTTACAGTTTAGTGGCTTTCGAATATCTACCCGCACTCGAACACGCATACTTCCCTTATATCCCAATGAAACAACAGACGCATCATAAGCAATGAATCGACCTATAAAATCACCAAACTCTTTTGCCACCGACTCTGCTATCAAACCCACTGCGAGATCGTTAATTCGCACCTAGAAATTCTCCTCCTGTAGCGGGACTAGCAAAGGATCCCCGCCCTTAATCAGTCGATGAAGTAAAAGGCGATGATCATTAAAATATCAAGGACCCTCCATCGCTATCCGATCCACATCAATTTGATGGAATAATCTAAACAAGTATTACCCCTCACCTAGTTCGACAATTGAATTCCTTTCTATTGGATGCCATACATTCGCCATCGTCGATCGTATGGCTTGAAAATTTATCAGACTCGATGAGAGGAAAGTCACCACAAAACAGAGGTGTAAGGAGATCAAAGATGCACATTCATTCTGGACAAGGGTAATCGCATATTCCTCCTCTTCCTAAGGCCGAACCCTCCAACCCTGTCGCTATATCATCCATAAGATTAGCCTTGAGAAACTGTCACCAACCATGCGAACAAGAGCTGTCGTCGTCATTCGCAAGAAAAGAAAAAAAGAAAACTAGAGATAACCCTAGAAACGTGCCACAAGACCAGAGATTAAATTTTGATTGTCAATTTTTAATTCATACACTTTTTATATTTTAAAATTATATAAACTTTGTTATATTAAATTTTTATTATCTTATATTATAAGTTAGTGTCTCACTAATTTTATAAGTTTAGGTCCTATAATTTGTCACCAGCATAAGGGATTGGCCCCGGTTTTTTGCACAAACAAGAGTGGTTCAACAAGCAATTTTTCCAATTCTTTAGATCAAAATTTGAAGTGTAAATAAATAGATTAATTTGATAAATTATTCGTGGACTATTTGTTTAGATAAATTTTTCGTGAATTATTTGTATAACATATGTTTATGTTCATTTATGAATCTAAATATACGAGTATGAGTAGAGTATTTATATTCATTTAATAAACAAACAAAAATACAAACAAAAACAAAGATTTGTTCAATTTATTTATGTTTACAAACAAACTTATTTGAAAACTCATTTATTGAGTCATTTATAAACTCATTTATTTGTTTGTTTTTCTTTTAATTTTTATATTTCAAATATTGATAAAAATAGAAATTAAATCGAACACAATAAAAATTTTGATTTTAAAATGCGAAGTCTAAAGAGATTAAGAACTAATGGCATAATTTCACCATTTTTCTCCTGACTTGTAAAGGAAAATAGGGTATTGGACCAATGTCCCTTGGCATTGGTTCAATAACATCTTTGTTACTTAGTCTAGGTTTTGGATGAGTTATGAATCAACCCAAAAATCCTATTTAACTCTCCTAAACTGAACGTATTTTATTTAATTTTTTGTTTGTTTGTTGAGTTAACATTTTTAAACATAAAAACGAACATGACATCGCTAAACAAACTGAACATAAACAGTTTAAAAAATAAATACACGAACACGAATCGAACATTAATACCTTCAAAAATAAACAAACGAATACTAATTCATTTTAACTGGATTCATTTACACCCCTAACCAGAATCTCTCAAAGCTTCTTATGCAAATGGCCAAACTACAAAATAATCTCATAAGCTTGTTATGCAAATGGTTGAGCATTTCCGATGTTGAACAGGGCTTGATCTGTGTATCAAATGTTAAGTTCCTTACTGCATGTTTTTACATGCTTCCTTCCCTATTGCATTCCTAGCTTCCATAGAAAGCAAATCAACCCAATCTACAATTGGATTATTCACAACTAGCACCAGCTAATTCTATACTCAAATATTCTAAAAGAAATTTGCATGCAAAATTGAATCTAATTTGTAGCATTACCAATTCGAACATAAAGCCTTAAAACCAAAGCTTAAGCTTACATTACCATTATATGCAACCAAATTCAAGCTCCTTTCAATGCTTTCTTCAACTCCTCGCTCAAATCCCCTTCCACTGATTTCCTCTCCTTGTTTACTCTCTCCATCTTCGATTGATTTCTTCTCATTGTCTCATCTCTCTCCGTTTTCGGCTTGCTAAACCCATTTCTTTCTATTTCTCTATATTTTCCCAAAGAAATTTCATGTGCGAGCTCCTCTACGGCTCTCCTCAATGAGCCATTCTCAGACTGCAAAGCTTCCAACTGTCGCTTGATTGTATAACACACTTCCGCCGCGTCGGAAATAGGGCCAGTCTCTGGACCCGATCTACTGGCGGTGGATAATATAGCCTGTTTGGAATCAGTGCCATCCACGTGTTCTATCCCGATCTTATCCATCACCAAGAATGGAATCTTCGCCAACGAAAACCCAATCTTCGGATCACCACTCTTCAACTCTGATGGAATCCTCATCCCCCAACGGAATTTAACCAAAGTCTTTCCCTTCACAGGCACCGCCGTCCTCGCTGCTATCTCCATCCCAGAGAGTAACCCCGCAAAATCCTTCGGATTGAAACCCACCAGTTTTCTTTTATCGGCAAAGAACCCGATCGAATCGCCTTTAACAGCAGGACAATCCATCACTTCAATCGACGAATCATCCTCCAAAACACGGCCGTTGCTCGGCTTCACGGCTTTATCGAAAACAGAAGACTGTGATTTCTTGATCGAGAAATCCCCAAACTGGGGCTTGAAGTGAAGCATAAAGCTAGGGTTTCCACGGCCAAGGAGGTTAAACTCGGCACTCATGAGCATGGAGCTGGAGATGGGAGAACCAAAGGGTCCGGTCCCGGTCTTGACGATGACAGAGAAAGGGTTCCACCCGTCATTAGGTCGATAGGAGATCTTGATGGACGGTCCAGATTCGAAGAAAGTGGAGAGATTTAAGGCGAGCTCCTTCGAATCGCCGGCGACGATACCTGATTGAAAGGGCAGGCCTAAGATGCTGAGAGGTATTTTGGCTCTCAGTACTGGCTTCTTCTCTTCACGAAATTTCAATGAAGCTTTCATTTTTTGTTCACCTTAAAACCCTAAATTGAAATTACCTTGTCGATTTGATTTATAGCAAAAATTGCGCCAGATTGTGAGGGTTGAGGCTGGACTGTTTGCTGTTTGGGATTGGAAAAGAAAAGGGAAGGAAATTACTAAAAGAGAAAGGAGAGTGGAAGCGTAATTATTGGGAATACGAGGGGGTAATTTAATTGCTAGGAGCAACGCTCATCCTCCACGAAGCGCTCCGCTTCGTTTGGATTTGTATTTTTAGGTTAAACTATGTTTTCACTCATTCAACTATAACTTCAGTTTCATTTTAGTTATTTAATAATTTTACTTTTAAAATCATACCTAATATTACATTTTATTTCTGTTTCGGTCACCTGCCATGACAAATTTAGACTTTGTATCAAGTGGATTCATGAAAGTCGAAGTGAAATTAAGTAGGTTCAAGTACATTTAATTTTTTTCTCTCCCAAACTTTTCTATATTTTTGCAAGCATATTCTATACCAGAATAAAGTCAATTGACCCTAGTAAACAAAGTGTCAATCCGCCCCTAATCACTCTCCGTTAAAAAATAAATAGAAATGTTGATATAATAACTTTTTTTAATTTTTTTCAATGATGATGTGATATTATCTTCTAATGGCACATCAGTATTATCATTAATTTTTTAACGGTGAAAATAGAATTAAAATGTAACTTGAAGTATGATTTTGAAAAAAAAGCAAATAACTAAAACATAAATAAATTAATGATTGAGTGATTAAATAATGTAATTTGCCCTTTTTATTACGAAAATGGACCTTTTGAATTTCAAAAATTCAATTTTCAAAAATTTTGAAATCCATAAACTTCAATACCATACACTTCAATTACATTCCAGCGTTTTTTTTTTTAAATACGTTGCAGTTAACACCAATATATGATCATCTACTTCTTCAATTATGTTTTCGATTTTTAAAAAAATTATATAATATCAACTTAATTTTAATTTAATTCATATTCGGGTAAACTAAAAAAATTCGTTTGAGCTTTATAAAAAAATTTCTCACTAAATTTAAAAAAACATAAAATTTGGTCAATTTTTTTTCAATTTAATTAAGATTCGATCATTTTCGTTTCGTTTTAATTAAAATATGGTCACTAAAATTTAAAGATTGTTAAACCTTTAACAATTTGCTGATGTGGCATGACCAATATATAAAATTAAAATTATATTATTTCCACGTAGATAATACGTGGATTAAATTTTGGTCACTTTCCTTTCATTTGTGTATACTTTTGCTCACTAAATTTTAAAAAAAACATAAGTTTTGTTCATGTACGTTATCATTTTATAAAGTTTTGGTCACTTACGTTATGACTTTATTAAGTTTTGGTCACTTATATTATCGCTTTATTAAGTTTTGGTCACTTGGACGTTGAATGTCGTAAGTTTGATGGCGTGACTCATTAGAAAAATGGTTTAATTTTTGTTTTAACCCCTACACTTTAAACAAAATACTGATTATGAGTCATTTTTGTAAATTCAAATTAGTTTAGAACAACATTTCAATTTATCCATTTTTAATAGGTTTTCTTCCCAACCCCATTGTTGTTCATCTTCTCTATGTTTCTTATTCATACATCTCTATTCCATTGTTCTGTTTGTCTTCTTTCAAGGACTCATAATGCATTTTAAGAATAATTAAAGATTTCCAACTTCCGATAACAAATAATACCACCACAAGTTTAGAAAAAAAGAGAGGGTCTCCATTTAGAGATAAAATGAAGCTGGGTAATCCCGGTTATACAAACTAAAATTTAATTTCTAAAGATTGAGATTGCAAAATAACAAATCTAACAAGGAACAAGAAGAAAAATCAATGGATCCAAATAACACGATAGTCGAATATCATTCTTCGTGGTTATTTTCCCTTGACAAAGTGCCTTAGGTGAAACATAATAAATACATCTAAACAACATGATATCTAGACCCGCGAATTCATCCATTGAACTCAATCCAAAATCCATGATCTTCAACCTCGAATATATTTTTCTCAAGAACAAGCAATTTCTTATTCTAGATCCCTATGAATCATTGTTAACCCCTACGGCTTGCACAATCTGTCAAACCAATGCCACAACGTATGCCTTAGAGTATTTCATTCTGCGACAACCCGATTGAACAACTCGCTTCCGAAGTAGAGCTCCAGTATTATGTAAACGTCAGTTTGATCTTCGTAAATATTGTGGAGGTCAATCACATTTGAATGCGACAAAACATTCTCGATAATCTTTCGCATCATGGGAATTTTATTGGTCAACAATTCATCAAAGATGGAACTACGTATTGTGTCAATAACGTTGCCAATGAAGAAGCTCTAGTTTTCTCAGCTCGAGGTTGTGGCGTCACAGTGGTGGTGAATCTTTTCAAAGTTTTAATAATGAATTCTCTACATTTTTCACGATCTCTGTTACTTCTTTTTACACCTTTTCTTACAAATGAGAACCCACCTATTTTGACTTCAAATAATTATAACTAATAATTAGAAATAATAAGGCTATTAGAATGAAATAGAGATGTCTGAAGAAGAAGAGATGAGAAGATGAGTAATATTGGGGGTTTGGAGAAAATATTAAAAAATAGGTAAATTGAAATATGGTCCCTAAACTAATTTGAATTTATAAAAAAAGATTCATAATTAGTATTTTGTCTAAACTTTAAGGGTTAAATAAAAATTAAATCATTTTACTAACATGGCATCTCATCAAACTAACGATATTCAACGTCCAAGTGACTAAAACTTAACAAAATGGTAACGTAAGTGATCAAAACTTAATAAAATAATAACGTAAGTGACCAAAACTTATTATTTTTTAACTTTAGTGAGCAAAAGTGTACAAATATGAAAGAAAAGTGACCAAAACTTAATCCATTTATTACGTGGAAATGATGTAATTTTAATTTTATATATTTATGGTGTCACGTTAGCAAACCGTTAAAGGTTTAATGGTCGTTAACCTTCACTGACCATGTCTTAATTAAAACGAAATGAAAATGATCAAATCTTATGTTTTTCGAATTTAGTGAGGAAAAAATTATAAAACTCAAATGAAAGTGACCATTTATGTAGCTTACCCTTTATATTGTTCAAAAAATGTGTATTCTCTTATGGCTTTCTCTCGCTCTCTTGGCCCTCCATATGTCGTAGTGTGTCATGGCTATTGGCGTCCATTTCTCGTCGATGCAGGTTCCGTCGTATGGTCTTCTCCTCTGATTTGGTTTTCAACCCATGTTCTACCTCTTTCCAGTTCTATGTTTCTCCAAGTATTGGCTTTTTAGGCATCAGGTCATCCCCCCATTTTTTATTCGAATGTCGTTTATAGTTGTAAGCTTGTTTTATTTCGTTGGTCTGAGTAGGGTTGGTAGTTGGAATGGTCTGTGGCGATTGTCTGGAATTACCTGGCGTGGAAGTTTGGGTTTTATCCATGGACAATTAACTTCTATCAGTTTATCTGCATTGTCCTTGGTGGTTACCCCCTCTTGGGTCATGAAACTTTGTATGACAGATGCACTTCTTTCTTTATCATATCTCCCAGGCACATGTTGACAGTTTCCCTTAGGTTGTTTCTGTCAGTTCTTCCCCACTTGTTTTTGTGTGTTAGGGAAGCCTAATATTCACGCTCCAATAGCCAACCGTTCTTTTACAGATGTTTCTGTTTTTGGGAACCATCTTTGGGTTTCTTGATTGTGGAATATTTCACTTTCTCGCTCATGGCAGACGAGGTTAATACCCTTCTCGCAAGTCTTCACTTCACAAAAAATGAGGTTGATGATTTCCTTCCCCTTGGGTATTCAGCCCATGCGTCAACCGATTCATTGAAATTCTATCTTGTTGGTTGGTCATCTGTATGGTACACTATCACTGGAATCTGATGTTGTTATTAGGATTTTCAAGAGTATTTGGGGTCTTTCTAAAGTGGTTGAGATATATGTGCTCAGCGAGAAACACTTTTTGATTCACTTCACTTTTATCGAAGCTTGTTAGTCAGTTTTTTATCGATCCCTTTGGTCTTTCAATAGGGACCTCTTCTCTCTCACATCTTATGATGATCAATGTAGCCTTACTGACTATGACTTTACTCAATTAGCAATATGGGTTCGTGTGTATGATCTTCCTCTTAGATGGATGATCAAGTTTATGGGTTAGCTGGTTGCTGCCAGACTTTGCACTCCTCTTACGATTGATCTTCGTCCCCGTGCTGGACATTTGGGCTCTTAATTTTGTGTTCGTGACAGTATTGATACTCAGAAATCTCTCAAGCATTGTCTGGCTATCGGTTATTACCTTAATGGTTGACCTCGACTATGTCTTCTCAAGTATGAGCGTCTTCCATATTTTTATTTTCGTTTTGGAATTGTTGGTCATGTGTTGGCCTCATGCCCTATAGGAGCGGGGGCTTCTAGTAATGCTCTCCAATTTGGGGAATCGTTATAGGTGCCCCCACCACTAGGCTCTAGGCTTCCTTTAGTCGTCGATTGGGCATTGTCTCCTTTATCGTGACTCCACTTTCAACATCGACCACTTCTGTAGTTTCTAAATCTCCCTCTGTCAGTCCGCTGTTAACCTGAGCTCCATCTACAACCCTTATATGCTTCCCCCGCCATCTCCTACTATCCTTGGTAGATTTACTAACCCTTGATCTAAAGGGATACATCATTTTAAGCGATCTGTTACTCTCTCTATCCTTGAGGTTTTGTTCCCCTCACCCAGAAAGGCTAGGGTTTCTTTTGTTGAACACATTGGTCATCTTTCTTCGATGATTGATCCCATTGTTTCCTCTTCAATTTCGGTGCAGGCTGGTCACCAGCCTCACTAGGCTTTATGAAAATCATTAGTTGGAACTATCAGGGACTTAAGAACTCACAGACAATTCACGCTTTAGAATAACTTATTTCTCAAAAAAAAAACCCTGATGTTCCTCTGTGAAACTCATCTTTAGCTAGCGTGAGTTAACTCATTGAAACAAAGTTTGGATATGGGGGGATGCTTTTCTTTGGCTAACAGCCATGGTTGTATAGGACTTCTACTTTTTTGGTGCAATTCTATTTTTGTTCA